CTTTTTGGTATAATTCAACTGCCTTCATAACATCTTTTTCTACACCAATTCCATTTTGATAGCAGTAACCAAGATTATTCTGTGCTCCAGCATGTCCTTGTTCAGCTGCTTTTTGGTATAGTTCAACTGCCTTCATAGCATCTTTTTCTACACCAATTCCATTTTGATAGCAGTAACCAAGATTATTCTGTGCTTTGACATATCCCTGTTCAGCTGCTTTTTGGTATAATTCAACTGCTTTCTCAAAATCTTTTTCTACACCAATTCCATTTTGATAGCAGTGACTAAGATTGGTCTGTGCTGTAGCAGATCCTTGTTCAGCTGCTTTTTGGTATAATTCAACTGCCTTTATAACGTCTTTTTCTACACCAATTCCACTTTCATAGCAGTAACCAAGATTATACTGTGCTCTAGCATATCCTTGTTCAGCTGCTTTTTGGTATAATTCAACTGCTTTCTCAACATTTTTTTCTACTCCTAACTCCATTTCCATAATAATAGCAAAGGCCAAATTCAGTTTGTCCAAAAGTATTATTCTTTTCAGCTGACAATTCATACCAGTAGGTGGCTTGTTTAATGTTTTTTGTAACTGTTATTCCATATTCATAAAAAAAACCAAGTAACCAAAAACATTGCCCACAATCAACGTGCTCCTTAAGCTTTTTAATAGGTGAATAATCTTGTTGATACCATTCATTATGTGCTAACCAGTTTTTGATCACATCAACAATCTGTCTTTCATGTTTATCTTTTATTAATTCTTCATGGTATTTGCTAGATAATCCATCAGAAAATGGATGATTTGAAGCTATAGCAAGTTGAGTCACCATGCTAAGTTTGTCAAAAATCTGCTCACAAGATGGTCTTTTCTCAGGCATATCATCCCAACATGCTGAATATAATGTGATATATTCGTCAGGGGTTCCTGAAACTGGAGCATTGCATCTACCATTTAACCTGTAGGCTATAATGTCATTATAGTTCTGGAGTCCATCACATGGTCTCTTCCCACCAGAGATTTCCCACAACACCACTCCAAAACTAAATATATCTGACTTTTTATCCTGCTTAATGGAAGTGTCATATAAACATCTGGGGTCAAGATATGGAAGAGTTCCTTGAACGTTTGAAACACTTTTTTGTTGTAATATAAGGTCCGACAAGCCAAAGTCTGTTATCTTCGCCACGCCGTCATGAACTAATATATTATGAGATGACTAGTAACAAAATTGTTAAATTACTTGTTGAATATCAAAACAATGAAATTATTGCATTGATAATTACCAGATCTTTATGCAAAATATCAAGTTCATGAAGATATCGTAGTCCATTAATGATGTTTATACCGAGCTTACATCTCATAAGCCAGTTCAGTTCAACAGTTGTGTCTGATAAATAACGTCTCAAAGAACCGCCATCCGCATATTCGAAGACCATAACGTATTTGTTCTCCGAGTCTATAATAAGAGACTTTGTTGACGTCATTGTTAATCAAGTTACGCCATACCTTCAAACTACTATGCTTACCCTGACTCACACCGAAAAACCGAATTATGTTAAGATGGTCATCAACTTGGCGATGAATTTTAAGCTAGAAAATAATTATACGATTAAGTGAACATAATACTCAGATTTGAAATCGGTATTATGAACACTAACCTCTTTGACAAAGTTTTCGAACGTCACATCCTCATTTTGTGAAAGAAGAAGCTTGTATGCGACTGTTCTAGCAAGTGTCTTTGCTTCCGCTCTGAAAACTACTCCATATCCTCCAGCGCCGATGCACACCGGGTCAACAAAGTCCTTGAAAGAATAAAACCGAATGTTACCGTCTTCAATATTCTTTCTTAACTATGGAGACCATGTTTGTTGCGCTGTTGTAATAGCTTTAAGTCTTTATCGATTTGATTGTGGTCATATTTTGTTTCACAATCATTTCGTATTCATTTTGGAACTCTCGTACTACAGCCAACCCCTTTTACCTTTTACCTTAACCATTCAAATTGTCTTCGGGCTAATTAACGTGACAAAAAATTATTATTATGAATAAGGATAATTTACCGAAAAGTTTTCAACCAACTACGAACCAGAACAGGAAATCCTATCAGTAGAAAGATTACAATGGATCGCACAATGAACACATCTTTTTACTATTGTTGATTTTTGGAGGTTGGAGTGTAATATTCGACGTGATAGCCATGTATTATTATAGTACTTATTTTAAAATCCACTAATACTAAGGGACTGATTAGAGATGGTAGTTTGAGTCACAACATTAACCGTTTGTTAACTTCTTACACGATCACTTTAGAATCAATTCAGGCGTCAACCTACTGTCGGCAGATACACAGTGGCTCTCTTTATAGTGGACCTCCGTTACAGTGGATTTCAGCTATTGTGGAGAAATGTTACAACACAATAATCTCGGGGGAGTCGATTTTGTGACTATGAAAACGTTAAATAGTTTAAAGCATCAAATTCTTCGAAATGATATTGAAAACAAGCACCAGTGTTAATACTAATACGAAATAAACCGCTTTTTAATCAAATTCGCTATAGTGTATGTCACATGATATATTATTAAATACACTATATGGTGAGATTTCTTTTTTGTGTATAGCTCGTTATAGTGTAGAAAACTGTTGGATTTTGTGTCTCCACTATAAAGAGAGCCACTGTGTACTTGATAACTTGGACGCGTGTAACACAGTACTTCTCACAATTTAAGTTCAAAATTTCTAGTACGCACTGTATAGGGTTTGATGCTTTTGTTATGACCGAATTTTCCACTAATGTTATATCGAAGGTTTGAAAATAGGAAAGTTTTAAGTCAATGCAATTCGTGTCGCTTTTGTAATGAGACATACGCTAGTAACGAAAACGGTCTTTTACTAAACTAATATATTAAACAAATACTAAACGAGCTTATTTTATGTTAACATCCTGTTTTAAAGTTTGATTAAGTCTTCAGAAACCAGTATGAGGATGAGGGTATCGCAGAGTGATTCAGGTGATCGGATAAATTTAAACGGTGATCATGAAAAATATCGGCAATTGAAAAAAACATGGATAATTGCTCATTATAATTAATTAGACATAATCAATAAGTTGCCTGTTGATGTATCACCTAAGCATATGCCTTCTCGTAAAATTTGTACATTCGTGTCTTTACACTGGTTTTCTGGAATCAAGTGCAATGGACGATTTACTCTAATCTTTATGACCCTCCCGAGATTAGTATATACCGGTTGATGGCAAAGCCGCACAATAATCTTAAACATCGAGTTTGATGACAGTGCTGATACTTGCACATGAGAACACGACGAGTGAGTCATATCTTCGCTGTTTACCGTACTCGCGACAGCCATACCCGTGATGATCGTGTGAATGAAGATTACTGTATATAACTCGACATTGTCTGCATTGATGTTTGCTGTAGTGGAATCACGATCAGACGAAAATAAATAACGCATGTGGGATTCAACCCTGTTATCAAGACCGTGTATCAGAATTAATTATCGATGCATCTAGTTTGTGCCTACCTCTGCATTGTCCACGTGGACCAATGCCGAGACTCGAAAACCGATTCCAAAGAGTAACTTCATTTTTATATTAAGTAATGTACGAGAAAGGCCATGATTCCAATTCACGTTTTATTTAACCTGTGATATTAGATCGTCTCGAGAATTAAGATCATGCATGAAATAAGACTACAACATCGGCAATGCCTTGCATCAGCCAAGCGAATCATAAAGCATAAGCAAGCTTGGATGCTTTTAAGCCGTATGTTACCATTAAATGATTAGATTCATATTACATTATACCATACAGTTGATTTCGGTCCCGTGATATTATCTTACAACTATTCGTCTCGAAGTTCAGTTCCCGACGCTCGTTCAATCTGTTTGCTCAAATTCTCCAAGGATACACCACCCAAAATCTATAAAATTCATTCAAGTGTTAAAACATGATAATCACAGGTTAAAACTTGCAATATCAAATCACGCACCGTTTGTATGAAGCCGATCATACTGCTCTCTTTGATTTCTACTTTTGCTCGCGGACCGCAGTAATATTCATAATGGTCTTTATCAGATTGAGAACTGTCGCTGGATGCCAACTTCACTCTATCCAGATAACCCTGTTTTACAAAGGTATTGACAGCTTCGCTGATATTACCAAAGACTTCGTGGTCCTCAGTTAAATAGAGACGCCGGAAATAATGTTTAAGCTGATCTATACAACGCAAAGATACGTTATTTTTGATTTCCGGGGACGGGACGTTCAATTTCGAGCATTACCGTCAGTCAGAACTCGTCCATGTACAAGTATTAAACTCAATATGACCATTAGCAATCCCATTGCAGGCTCGTCGTTTTTCCAATTTATCATTTCAGGCTGTCTATGTTCCTGTGCTATAATATTCTTGAGCATATACGATTTCACATATGTTGTTGGTTTGTCCTTGTTTGCAGCGGCTGAAAAGAAATTCTACACATGAATGTCGTTAACCGAACAATTCAATTTGTCAACACGTCCGTACCTCTTCGAGCAGCAGTGCTCCCAATAACGTTCTTTCGCTCCTTTGTCGGTAATTCAGCTATCGTCATGCCAAAAACTTCACGCAAACGGGTATCAGCGGCCTCCATTACTTGATTGTATGCTCTGGGATGATTCACAAGGACTGTTCAACAAAGTATTGTCAGTTATTGAACAGTTGAACACAAGTTTACGAAACTTCGAGTGAGAATAAACTGCGTACCTTTTTTTAATATGTCTTCACGACGCATTGGAGTACGACGGAGTTCAGAACACAGCGCAAGACGCACAACATCCTTCACCTTACGTTCAAATTCCTAAATAAAAGTCATTCTTATAAGCCAGTCTATTCCAAATAACTCGTGAGAGATTCACGCGAGTTCAAAAGTATACCTCTTCAGTTAGCATTTTGATGCCTTTCGCACAAGAATTGACGGGCGCGTTGGGAATACTTGTGTGGCGTGAGCACATTCATTGTGGTCATTGTGGCGTTATGTTTCACCAAATGCGCTTGACTTTGCCATCATTCCAAGTAAGCATTGATGTTGTGCACTCAACTCATGTCAACGTAAATATGGATAAACGTTTATGTTTCATCCAACAGTAAATTGACTTTATTTATTTAGTCCACCCAAAATATCACATATTAGATTTTCATCAAATTCTCTATCTTGGGAAGGTGGTTCCCCAGTGGCCATCAAACACATGATAATAATAATACCAAAAGAATATATATCTGATTGCGGAGTAAATTTGCAAGTACGAAAGACTTCCGGTGCGGTAAAGGGCGAAACTCCTCGAATGGTTGAACTTGATCCACGTGAATTCACTGATCGTGAAAGACTGAAATCACACATGTATAAGGAGTGTGTCAGGCCATTACCATGCAAAACTAGGTTTCTGCCATGAAGACCACAATGCACTAAATTTGAACAATAAATATCAAGCATAGAATCTACAATATCCTTCAAATATTTCAATTTTAATATTTTGATCCAAATAAGACAAAAGATCGCCATCATTAGCATATTCCATAACTAATAACAATTATGTACTCCTTTGTTTCCGGGTTTTGTATAGTTCTGTGCACTTGGCATGGTTTCTGAGCTATTAAATTAACACAAAGTTAGATTAAGATATTCCTTAATTAACGATATCAACGATTGCTTACCTCGTTGATAAATAATTCCAACGTCTGATCATAAACCTTATACTTAAAGCATTTTAGCACAACCGTTTCCGGAATTAGAATACCTGAACCCCCAACATTTGGCAGTATAGACTGTTCTGTAACCGCCACATATGATTCAGGTCCTATTATATCTATTGCACAAATGTTACCGTTTGGTCTACAAAATCTTAAGTGCAAGTGAGTCAGTATCAGAGTTTTTAATGCCAATCCATAACCAACTGCATACTGTGCGAAAATGTCTTCTAGAAGTAAAGAAATGGGGTGGTCCGATCTCTTTGAGTTCATGAAAATTGGCATACGGTATATAACTCATATTAATATTTTGGTAATAATAATGTTGAAAAATTTTGTCTAGAAAACCAAATAATATGCTTGCGCAGATGGCTCTTGGGTATTCCAATTATCAAAATATTATCCGGGTTTAATATTTCCGGGTATTCGTCAATTAGCTATTTGAAGTAAATTAATACAGCCACTACAAAAATCACCAACCAACACGCGAAATACTAGCGCTGTTTACTATTACATGGGAAATGATTTACCTGACGAAAATCAAATGACTGACCATCCCCTTTTGTTATTTGCTTGAGTGCCACTTCAGTCCATTCGCTTGTCGTTGGCACTAACCAATCTGCTATACGTGTGTGTGCATCCATGGGATAATGGGGTCATGTCTCGTACGTTCCTCAATAGACATCATATTGGTCCTTCATATTCGCCCATGATTCCATAATAAATAAATCCAGTGACTTGTTGCCCGTAGTCCAGTCGGGAGGTATTGGGGCTTTACATTGATAGCAGTATGCATTTACCATGGGTTCTAATCGACATGTACACGCCAGGCATAATCCATTGTCAGTCTGCTCTTTTATTAGACAATACTTTCGTATATCTTCCGTGGTAAGAATATCTGGATGCTTACCACATAACTAGTTGAAATAATGCATAATAATTATTTAAACTATTCAATAACATGACGCATAAGTAAATGGTTTACCTCGGCATAATATAAATCATGTGTCTAGTCTGTTATCTCAAGTGGAATTAATTTAACACGCTCACGAGTAGGTAGAGCATACATGCGTAACATGAAATCATCTGGAATCCATTCCACATAGGCTTGATTTGCTGAGTTTATCTGTGATTGGGTTTTTTTAATAAACTCATCGAGTTGCTTATTGCAGCTTGTCCATTCATCGGATAATTCTTTATGACCACAGATGCACCACACAGGACTACATCGAAGTATTCCACATGCGGAGCAGAATCCATAAAAGCGTTCATCAGCAACCATGTAATAGTTATTATCGTATTCGGCAAATCCCTGTATTAATCGGTTGCGACGCTCAAGCCATTTTACATATCTTCTGAAGTGATTAACATTGTTGCTATACTCGTGTGTCGGAAGTGAGTATATTTTTGCAAACTCACTCACAAGCGTTGGTGTACATTCTTTGCTGTTTCCAAGTGATATCAGCGTTATCGGTAGACCAAACTCTGCCACTAAATGTATATGTGCGAATCGCACGACAGTGTCAATTTGAGTTGCTCTTATATCGGTAATTTGTGAGCAAGAAATCCATTCAAGAATATCTTCACGTTCCAAGGTGGCGTGACTAAGTTGTCAATTGCTTGATTAGGCAAGGTTTCAAGTGATTACTGTGCTCGCACTTTGCGTTTTGTTGTGGATCGTTGCACAATTTCGGCACTGTGTTTATCATGCCTTAAAGAAGAAGTTATTATTATTGCACAATACTATTATTATTATCTACACAGGTATCTTAGTTAGTACTACAGTACTAGTACGAGACTCATCTAACATTGCAAGACTTGTAAACGTCACCATTTTAATTTGCATTTGTACATGAAAATTGATGCTAGTATTTTTATTTTCATGATGTTCTTTTGAAGTGATAAAAGTTGCTGTTACTATGCAGCCGATAGAATAAGTGAAGAGAAGGAATACAATTAGTCAAGCATTCATAATTACTGTACAAGTCATCCTTTACCATAGCAATAGTAATAGTAAGTGTCAGATAATGAAACAAGCGATCTACGAAGGCTGCATTCCAAAATCTCGGTGTACCGAACGCAGTAGCTGCGGAATACCAAATGACAAAAGAAAAGGCGTAATGGATCGAAAAATGACAAGAGATCGAGTGAATAGTGTCGCAGTGTTGCTTAATGTGGGATTAATTCTTGTCACTTAACGTAGCGCTTAATATTTCCTCATGTGGCTAAATTTTTAGACATTTTTGTTATAAAAGAACAGCGTAGACGATAGCTCAACGACATCTCATGTACATTACATCTTCAGTTGAGACCTTCGACCTCATAATCCTTGCATTGGAATAGTTTTTTATATTCTAATAAACTGTGTTAAAACAAACATAATCATTTCTTTTCGTGATAATAAGTTCTGGTAAAAGATATAACGCCGGCATAGTCTCTGATAACTGAGATACAAAACGTATTCTCCGATCGGCGTTATACTCGCCCTTAACCTAGAAGTTGTCTTTTGTAACAGAATTATTATTTACTTTCTTTGCGCAAGTATAGTAGTTTAGTTTCCCACCTGATAGGATATTAGTCTAATCCCACTAATATAAATTGACGTAGATCTCGAGGATAAATAATAATTCAGGAGAACGTATACAAGACCGATATTTAGATCGTGAGTATAAATCGTAGTTTAAGCGTCACTAATTATTGGTAGATATCTCGAGTAGGAATAGCGAAAGGTCCGATTGAATCTCAAGGCCCATATACCAACGCTCTCCTGGGTATATTGGCTCGACATAAGTAAATTCACTTCTCAAACTTTGTTTATATTATTATTACTAATATGGGGTATGCTAAAATTGACCAGCGTGACTGATGACATTTTGAAAAGTAATAATGGTGCTTGTTTATAACTTATGGACTTGTTAATTTAATCCCCACTTTATCATTTGACAAATATAAACCATAACATGATTAATATAGGATACATTATTTTGCTGCATGCTAAATATAGCCAAGATTTAAATGCAAAATAATCAGCATCTTTTTACATGTTTGACTTTTTTATTGTAATTGTGTCAAAGTAGCAAAATTTGATTGAGCAATCTTATCCATCTTTTGTTGACAGTTATTTGATCAGTGAAGGTTTTGTGGGGCTTTTATTTTAAACTGCTTTTCCTTACATTTTTATCTCTTTCTTGGTTTATCCTAATCTTTGCTTATTGTTTATTTTTGTTCTTCTTGATAAATTTTATGAGTTTTTCTTATCTGGATTTAAAATAAAAATTTGACACCCTATTTTAATTGATTTCAGCATTAAACTCATCATAATTAAAGAAATATAAATAATGACACAATGCACAATTGAGGGATTAAATGCTTGTGCAAAAAAAAACTGCTCTGCCATACAGCAGGACAAGATGAATTAGAAAATACATTTGCTTTATGTGATGTTGGTGTAAAAAAATTTTCTTTCTGATTGACAATCAATTTACTTTTTGATCACTCAATGATAATGGTGTAAGAAAAAACTGTACCAGTTAGCCTATTTTGTCTTTTACTAATAAAGTCAGAGAAATTTGATTCTAGTACTAGAGCCTTTGCCAAAGCTGTCGCCCCTGTATATGTATCTCCAATTTAATTATACCAGAGAGTCTGAGAGGAATTTGATTCTAGAGCCTTTGCCAAAGCTGTTGCTCCTGTAGCTCTAATATGATTCCAATATAGATTTAGAGATGTTAAAGAAAAATTTGATTCTAGAGCCTTTGCCAAAGCTGTTGCTCCTGTATCTCCAATTTGATTACCCCTGAGATCCAATAAAGTCAGAGAGAAATTTAATTCTAGAGCCTTTGCCAAAGCTGTTGCTCCTGTAGCTCCAATTTTATTATAACTGAGATTCAATGAAGTCAGAGAGGAATTTGATTCTAGCACCTTTGTCAAAGCTGTTGCTCCTGTATCTCCAATTTGATTACCCCTGAGATCCAATAAAGTCAGAGAGAAATTTGATTCTAGAGCCTTTGCCAAAGCTGTTGCTCCTGTAGCTCCAATTTGATTACTACCAAGATTTAATAATGTCAGAGAGGAATTTGATTCTAGAGCCTTTGCCAAAGCTGCTGCTCCTGTAGCTCCAATTTGATTATCCCTGATATTCAATGAAGTCAGAGAGGAATTTGATTCTAGAGCCTTTGCCAAAGCTGTTGCTCCTGTAGCTCCA